CCCATCTCTTTCTGAACTTCAAGTCGATCATTTCCATTCAGTTCTTCCATAACACTTTCATTCAATCGGCATCCAATTACTTCAATTCTCCTTCTTCCATCATCGGAAATCGAAAAGTCTATTTAGGATACGACATTTAGCCATTTTGGACATCTTATCCACTCATCTATCTTCATCCACGTTGATCTTATCCTCGGCGATTTACCCCTGGAAATAGCTTTGTAGCTTATAGCTTACCCAAGAAGCTCTTCACACCATCCACGGAACCATCCACCAGTTAACCTCCTTTTCTTCTAAAGGAGACAGACAGCCTTGTTAACGCAAGCCAAAAAAAGCAACGTGAGTCAGATATAATCCATGTTCATTCTCATACTTCCAAAAACTATATTTATCAAAATATACTTTACTTCTTACTACGCCATGGTGGCCATATCTTAACATGCTTTGGAATTGGCAATCTTATTTTCTTCCGTCTCTTGTATATATACATATATAAACATCATCGAACTATCATACTGATCTAGAATGTTTTTGCTCTTAGACTTCTTCAACGACATACACCATAATAATGATTACCAGGATCAACGCATCTTCCAACATGGGTCGCGGCGCATATGATACTACTGGCCTACCTTCACCAAACCCTCCTCCACCAAAGCCTAAATAAATGGCCTTGATGAACCTCATCTCTTTCACGATTGTCCACGAAATGGCTCACGACCATCAGAGGACCTCATGGAGACGCAGGATCTAGGTCCGGTAGAGGATATCTCCACGTCAACTCGTTACCCTTTACCCTTCTCCAGATTCCAGCTTCGTCTATCTCGAACCTCACGATTCCCGGCACAGCTCTCACACATCTCTTACTCTGATTAACATTCTCAACATACACTATTCGAAAAATCATGCTTTTAATATTGGTCAACAATACCTTTCTGTATAATAATTTTGCCTACGATTCGCGACGAATTTCCTTTTTCGCGCTGCGTGCGACTTTGACCTCCCCCAATCCATTCTCCACACGATTTTATCTACATTCCAGACAACTTCGATAATCTTATCCGACTCTGAGACACCTCAATCGCACTCCTTACATTCAAAAGTTCACTCGGGAGAAAGGATGGCGGTCTCGATCCACAGTACACACTGCCTATCAAAAAGTCTTTTCTTCGGGGTCTGATTTCTTGCGAGTTTTCCGGAATTACATGCAGATACACAAATTTTTGGGAGAAAGGGAAGGCGTTGCATCTAGACTTGGGCTCGTTGTTCATTCAACACATTTACATTTCCCTTTTTCGCTGCGGCAGTTTCTTTGGTTTTCGGTGTTTTTAGACTTGCACTGTATTTTTATTCTTTTCAAATGGTTCGGACAAAAAATTGGGAATTGCTCGGGATATTAAAAACGTTTGGTTAGTTAGGAGCACTCCTGTGTGTTTTATCTTTGGTATTTCTGCGAGGGTTTGCATATAGACTTGCTGGTTGTACTATTTCCATTTCCTTGGGTCGTTTGGTGCGTTACACTTGTTTTTTTGGAAAGAAAGGGTCTGTTGCTATCTTCCTCGCGGATTGGGCACGCCTCGTGGGAATTTTGTACACGATGGGAATATTTGGAATTTTGATGAACTGGTGGAACTTGTATGCTTTGTATCTTGGAAGAAAGACTTACACTATTATCTTGTATTCTATACTATTCTTTCAAAGCTTTTGCACTTCTATTGCTTGTACTTGCGCAGCGACTTGTTTTGTTTGCAATAACTGATAGATTGGTCTTTGCTCTCTATTCTACTTTCACGGACGGGTTCCTGATCGACGAGCGAGTGATGTGGAGGTGGAACCCATATACCCAACCTAGACTGTGCAAGAGATATCTCCGCAAGGAGTGCAGAAGAGCAATGGCGCGAACTTTGGCTTTCGGGTCCTTCGTAATTAAACTTTAGTAATCAAAATCACCACTTTAATACTTTGAGTTTGCACCGTCCCAATTCTGCTTAATGACGTTGACATGTGCCAGCTTCGATACAGATCTCAGAAGCTACGTAACCAAATGAGCGAAGAATAAGATAACAAAAACAAGCAGTCCTCTTTCTCATCTCCCCATATCGATCTACACAAGTCTAGAACTACTCTTAAACCAAAAGCAATATATCACATTTCATCGGGAAGGGTTCATGAAACTCAGACAAACAAACTTTCCCGTATCCGAGTCAGCTCTCCCGAATCAAGATATATATAATGTTTGTCCTTGAAAAAAGCAAGTGAGTACAAACAATAAATGCAAAAGCAAAGGTTTCGAGATACGATCATGCGATCATACCCTCCTCGCAAGTTTGTCCCTCCTACAATCAATATATTGGCAAAATGCCAAATATACATTTTTACTTTCTCTTGGAAGTGGACGGAATGTACCTGTCTGGGTGTTATCATATGATATATATGTATGGAGTATGTAGGTATGCATCTCTGTGCGATAACGATCTAGGTTCAAATAATAGTGTGATGAGATCTGCAGCGGATAAATAGGTCGATGGAATGGTAGGGACAAACGAACGAATGCGATTCTGGAATATGCAGAGAAGGATGAAGGGGGTAGAAATGCGTTTGTGGTTTGAAGATCAAACCGTAGATGGGACCTGGGGTGCTCAATGGGTTACCGTAGAACAGCGATGCGTTATGTAATTACAGCGAGGCTTCAGGAGCTTACCGTTGCCATCCATTGATCGTAAGTGTATTCAAATAAACACTCACTACAACAAGAATCACACGACCACGCTTCCAGACTCGGGAATCTGAACGAGTGAAAGTAAACAAAGGCAATCAAACTTCACTCTACAGCTTACGAAATCATCAACTAGCGGAATCGACAGCTCCTCAAACCGCCAGCTCACTCCAAACTCACAACCCCGCTACTTCAACCACAAACCCATTCCCATCATACTCCCTCGTCAATCCCTCCGCCATGTCTATCATCCAGCAAGTATCCAACGCCACCCTCTCCGACAATTGGCGCACCATCAACATCGACGCCCTTGATCCCGATTCCTCCACCAACTTCGATATCTCTACTCTCTCCGCCCAGTTTCCCCCTGTCTCCGATGCCGATATCCGTAATCTAGCTCAGCAGGTACGCCAATTACTTCGCGGAGGAGATGCAGAGGGTGCTCTTCGAGGTGCGCTCGAGAATGCTCCGTATGGAAGTACTGATTTGGTGAAGGAGGTGCATTTGGGTACTGTGATGGAGGTTTTGCAAAGTATCAAGGCGAGCGAGATGACGCCATTGTTGAAGAGGGTTATGGCTAGCGAAGGGGGTGGAGATGTGTTGGATTGTTTGATGAAATATTTGTGCGTATTCTTGATTTTTGTAGGGCTGAGAAATTCTCTGCAGAGTGTGCTAATGACTTGATTTGATGGTAGATACAAGGGCATGGAATCAAAGGCAAATGCAAGCTCGAGTAAACTTACCCCTCAAAGTACCGGCGGCTTCTCACAAATTGGAGGTGGAAGACCAGGAGCACAGAATGAAAGTAGTGGTTCTTCAATGAGTGTGTTGCTCAGTTGGCACGAAAAGGTCGTGGAGGTTGCGGGACTAGGATGTGTGGGAAGATGCATGACTGATTGGAGAAAAGTATAAATTGGGACGGATAGATATTGGAAAATTATGACGATGGGGTGGAGGACGAAGCGCAGCTAGAAGGTTCGAGATTAGGAGACTGGGGAGTGGGAAGTGGGAGGGCGGGAAGCTGTCTAGCTGAAAAACGACTGACTCGCTTACTGGAGGAGAGAGTCGATGAAAATAGCAGGTCGATATCTTTTAGATGTCAACAAATGGAGCAATTAACAATCATAAATTAAGTCGGGATGTTTTCTGGGATACCACTTCTCAAATGCCACAAAATCCATGGGTCTACGCTTGGTAGTAGTCTACTAAATGTGGTGGAACTTCACTTGTACGATGTTATTTCTTATCCCAAGCTCGAACACTTTACCAATTGGTGTCATTTTGCATCACAACCCTTTATTCCAACAATTCTTTTTTCCAATACACAACCTGAAGAGTTTTCTCGTGTAGCCAGACATCCTGAATTCATTTCCACATTACTTTTTTCTCGTTCCCGCAATTTTAAATGTAGAACTCGATATTACGTCATTCAACCGTACAGCTACCTCTACACCATTCCCTCAATAGCTCTTCAGACCTTTCAAAAATCTCGTCTTCTCTATTATTACTAATACCCTAACGTTAGGTAAAGAAGTAATAAGTACTTCTCCCTCCACAATGCAATGAGAATTCATTAGTAGAGTAGCGCAACCGGGTTTTCTCACAACTATCATCATGGTTTACTAGATATGATTGAGACAATAAGTACGAGATTGTCGTTTCTGTTTTAGTGGTTTCTTCATTCTCCATATTGAATATTGAAGTCTAGATACCTACCGGTATCAACTTCCTTGTCAAATAGTGATGGTTTGGAGACTTGGGTACTGGGAGTTGGGGGAGTAGATGAGGTCAGGGAGTTCGGGTGGAGGGGCACAAGCTTGGTGCTGGTGCTGATGCGTTGATTCTGCGGTTTGGGGATCTTTGGTTATCTACTTGAGGAGTTGAGGAGGTAGTTCAGGGAAGTGGTAGAGGGAGAGGTAGATGTGGGGGTGAGGTGGGGTGGGGTTGGATTTGCATTGATAATGCTAATGGATACTATTTCTGTATTTTATACTAGAGGAGGATGGTCATATGCCAAGTCAGTAGTGATACTAGACCTGTTGAATGTTGAATTCGAATGAAACTATACATACCCAGACATTCTGTAGTCATTATATAGGGCCGAGTGTCTTATTTGGTACCTATACATCATTCGTTCTTCTATCTTGGATGAGAAATGGAAAGATTCTATTATATTATAGGCTTCTTATTACCAGATATTTCGCGTATCCCAGAGATAAGATGCAGAGTATATAAAAGAACTTTTTCGATTGAAAGTAACTAAACTAGCTCTCTAGAGCGAGGGTTATGCGTTCCTAGCAATAGCTCGCAACGTGCTACCCACATTAATCGTAGTAATAACCACAGGATGAACAGTAACGCCAGCAGTAGACTTTTGAAGAGGACTATCATCGTCATGATCATCATCTATAGACATGGGGTCGCTAAATTCACAAAATTCATCGTGAGCTGCATTCGGGAATGATTCGGTGGGGTTCAATTGGGGTGTTGGTGGTAGCTTGTTCTTGTTGTTGTCGTTTCCTGAGTAAGATTGTTAGACATGCAGATTATCGTGTTCTTTGAGATAAAACTTGCCATTAAGTTGTTCGCTTGTCTTGTGCTTATTTTGCTGCGTTTTCAATAGTCTCGCCTGCTTCTTCTGTTTCTTCTTCAATCTGAATTTCTTCCATCTGCGTTTACCTCGTTGGCGTTTGGCATCGGAGGTTGGTCTTATCTTTGCTCATCTTGTCCTTGTGACTTTGACTCCGAGTTCGATGTCTTCTTTGATTGGGTCTTGCATCATCGAGTTTGAGTTTGACTTTGGTGTCTTCTTTGGTTAAAGCGATGGGCGATTGGGACTCCGCGGTTGCCTATACCAGTGGCAATCATTAGCAATGATCGTCAATATTACACACGTTATATGAGTATCAATATATCACCGTCTGTAAATAAATTCAGGAACAGACAGATACGCTGGTGTAGATGGAGGAAGATATTATACGTATTGTTGAATAGATCTTCATACTATGCTTCCATACAAATCGTGGCATCGCGGACTTCCCTCGATACCTTTGTCTGTCAAATGAACATCAAATGAGAAGAGAGACTCAATTGAGGAATAAATCTCACGAAAACCATGGTGACGGGGATTCATCTTGATGCCTTGACTTGTTGAAATGAATGCTGCTTGTACAAACGAGGAAATGCCACATATTAAGAGAGAAATGAAGCAAGAAATGTAAGTGACCACTTACATGTTGAAGTAATCCATAGAGTCAGCTTAAATCTACCACAAGCAGACAATCTCTGTTCTTTTCCGCAGAAGGAATTGAAAATGATGTTGAGAGTGTTGATTGGTGTGATGAATGAATGGATGCATGCTAGCTTGATAGCTGAGCGATGATTTGCTTGCAAATGAATTTACAGTCTGTTGCCTATGTCAGGAGAAAATGAAGAGAAGAATGGAGGTTGATGGATTTGATGTGTTCAATAGATTCGGTGAAAACTTATCATATCAGGAAGGAACCATGGCAATGGCAATAACGCTCCTGGACATTGATAGCATGTCCACCATATTGAGAAGGAATAGATCGATAAATGACGTATACAAAAGTACCAAAGGCATTAAAAGCATCAAAAGGGAAAATAGCAACATAAATTTGAGGAAAGAGAGCTCCAGGTAAGATAGCTGGGTTCAAAAGCACGCCGAACGTGACTTCCAAAATACTGACAAAGCTCGGAAATCATGATGAATGATCTAGAAATATTTTTTAATGAGTGTAAATTTGATGCCATGCTATTTATACTGCCTCATAATTGTAGATCCATCGTAGGAGGCGTGCGTGAGAGTTCCCCTAAATACTTTGGGGCTTTTCACTATTAACTACGATTCTACCGTAGATTCGGTTAGTAAATACAATAGCGATTGATTGAAAGATTAACATGATAAGAATAGAGATAAGGATGATATGCTCAAGAATATGTAGGTGATAAAGTTGAATTTTGGTAACGCCTAAAGAGGAAAGGAAATGAAATTTCGTGGACGAAGATATTGATATAATGTGGTGATTCTCGAATAATCCACTAAGCCGAATTTGGAAATATTTCGTCATGTGATACACATAGACTAAGAATCATTTTTGATGTCTTTTGAACTTACAATTGTCAGTCTATGATCGAGTTTGTTTCCTATTTATAGTTGTTATATGTAATAAATAATCTCCTCGATATCTGGGTTCACTTCCTCCTTTGCCTCCTTCCTTCCTTCTTTCCTTCTATACAATCAACAACATACTATAAATAACCAGTCATCAACATCATCTCATACCTCACTAGATTTTCCCACTCGCCCCCCTCTTATTACTTGTACACTCAACTATATAGTGCTACTGAAGTTTGGATATGCGATATCGATCAGTGAATATAAGGTTTGTGATGTGGAGTGATCATCCAGATAGTGGGACCTGGACAGGGAATTTAGTTTCTATTTTGGTGGGAACAGTGGAGTAATCTACCTTAAGGCTTATGGATGGGGATGGAAAAGTGGATAACAAAGTGGGAGTGGGAGCGTAGAAGGAGGCTTTGAACAGATGTACTGTCTACCATGGCTAGGTATAGATATAATGATGGCATTGCCATGATACTCATGATGCACATCTCTCATGACCAGTCATCGAACTCTTGCATCATCACAAACATATGGATAAGCAGAGGGCAATTTTCGATCCAGTTAATAGTGTATAATCAAATCTCTCGTAAATCGAATCGAAACTTCTTGATTTGCAAGAGATTGGAAGGACTTCAAATACTGAAATGGATTTGATTGTTGAAATGAATCCAAACATCAAAAGAGGTTCGAATATCGAGATGAATTCAAATCTTAAAATGAATGAAATTTAAAAATTGATTTCGAATGCTGAAGTAAATTCGAAGGTCGAGATAAATTTAGACATTGAAACGAATTCGAGTATTAAGCTGGACTGGAATATTGAACTGGACTCGAACCTTGAAATGAATTCAAACATACTGCGCTGACTTATTATCATACAGCAAAATTAATATATTAAAATGTGAAGGTACGACTAAACAGTAGTGGCTCCACTAGATATTCATACGACGAACATCATCTGCCTCTGGAAAATTGCTCTTGCAACATGAATATGATTCAATGCCTCTCATAGACACTTTGAATTTCCTTTCCGCACATGGGTATCATACATCTTGAACCCCTCACCCTTTCACGCTCCAAGTCAATCCACCCTCGCGACTCCAACCACCGACTCTATGCTTCAATCAGAGATCCCACACGCCTAAACAGGTGGCGTGCAACCAAAACTAGTTGCGGCACTGGCCCCATCAAAAGCACTCATCAAGCCAAGACAACTAGTATATATACCTAACGCTGCCGTTGTCAAAGCCCCAAGGAAGTAAATGAGGTTAAACGTGTTGAACAACCAATTGGCCTTGTATCCTCTAATCCATCTCTTGACACCTCTATCAATATAATTATATGTTCCAGTTGAAGGATCAAACGACTCTTCTCCTGGAAGCATGGCATCTTTTTGGATCTGATATCCAAACCCGAGAATAGCGGGAAATGTGTATGTGAATTGGAGGATGAAGAGCGCGCCCACGAGACCAGAAATGTAAGAGAATTGAGGGATGGCAGCGCAGACAAGGAAAGCGATTGCCCAGTATAGGGGTACCATTGCAGTCCAGAGGATTTTACCGGATTTTGTGGTCAAAGGTGGTGCTTTGAGAAGACCTTGAAAAACTTCAATGTACGCCACTTTGATACCGATGTTACCGTAGAGTACGGCCGCAATGAGACCTGTGATCAGATTCATAATGTTTGCTGCGGTTTGCCAGTTGTAAGGCGAGAGACCTTGAATGACAGGATTGTACGAATATTGACCTTGGTAGGAATAAACGAAGATACCAAAGAACATGTACACAAAGTAGATGAATAGATCAGCACAGATGAGACCCTTCCAGAAATCCATGGGATGACGCATTTCGGCGAGGAAAGCAACGAATAGCATAGCACCACCGTATGAGTAGACAGCTTGATTAAGACCATTCAGAGATCCGGTAAATCCATCTCCTCCCGTTGCTTTACCACTCGGCGGTGTACCGGCGTACCTTTGTATGGGTCCTGGGCCGAACGTATCTCCGAAGCTAGCTTCAACTGTAGCATAATTAGGAGGCGAATTAGCTACGACACCCATACAGATGAAAATGATGAGGACGTTGATCCAAACTGCGAAGTTTGCGAGCCAGCCGAATCTTTGAAGAGTACGAATCTGTCCCAAGATCATCCCAGCAGCCATGAAAACTATCAAACAAGCAACAAAGCAAAGATTTCCTTTGGCGATTTGTGAAATGGATTGGCCGTTGGAGAGAATAAGGATAGATACAGTGAATAGCAGTTGGATACACTGGGCTATATTGATACCATGACGAGCCCAAGTACCAAAAACACGGAAGAACAGGTCAGCATACGACTTTGCAGGGTATTTATCCGAGTCCAGAGCAAGAAAGATGCTGAAGATTTGCCAGCCGGAGTATAAAGCAAATCCGCCGAACACAGTGTAGAGAGCAATTCCTGGTCCATCTGGAGCTTGTGTTAGTACTGTTCTTGATGTTTGAATATTTACTCTACTTACAGCCCATTTGAGCAAAGGCCCAAGGAACACTGAAAGGTCCAAGGATATCAGTCGTAATGAGATAAAAGACACCTGACCAACCAGCGGTACGGACAGCACGACTCGCCGTCTTCCACTCAGCTTCCGAAACAGCCGATTGTACTGGTCCACCAGGAACAACAGACTTCTCGTCTAGGCCGTCCTTTTCATTTGAAGCTAAGGTTGTTGCGGGTGGAGTGTCAAACGATTCTTTTGTGCCTTTTCCCTTGGAGAATCGATTTGTGATTGTGGATTTCCAATTTCTCGGTCCTTGAGCCGCAACAAACTTCTCATTGGCAATTTTCTCCTCAGCACGAGTGATTTCGGCCCAGTATATATATTCCTCGAAAGTAACACTGGGGTCATGGATCGAAGACAACATTGCCAGTTCAGTCGCCTTAGCGTCACCTGTTATGGGGTGATGAGGATCTCGTGGATCACCACCTTCCAAGGCGAGACTTGCCATGGGTGTAGTCATGCTGAGCAATGTATGGGGAGATCAAGTCAAGGTGATAGCCTCCAAGGCGTCTTGTAAAATAAAAATAATGAATGAACTTGAAAAAGCCCATTGTGATGGGAAGAGAGAGTATATAAATATCAAATAACCCAATCCAAAATAATGCATAGGAGGGGTAGAAGTGGCGTTCCCTTCACACCTTCTTTAAGCAGCTAACATGATGATCATGCAGACAAGTATCAACTATGTTATTACTGCATTCGATGCAATCAGTAAGTATTCCACCAACGGCAAGAACCATAATACTCAAGGGTTTGACGAAAGGCCAAGAATTGCCATCGCGATAAATTACTATTGGAGGACTCGCTTTCTAGAATGATTGATGAAGTTCGCCAGACCCTGATGATTTGACACAATTTCGTAAATAAAGTTTGAAAGCTTCGGAAAGTAGCCAATAGTTCATCATGTTGATAATACTTTCCGGGGTCAAAGCATGGCGGCATGCACACCTTCCTATTCAAGACGGTGACTTCTGACAGGAGATAAGTCTCACCAAACTGAATGCTGATATCACCAGTTACCTTTCTTTCGACCTGGTCATCTTATGTTCCGTTCATTTCTGCGCGCCAGCCCAACAGTTATCCATAACTTGTAGAAAAAGCTTGGAAAAGCTTGTTCTAACTTCCGACTACCGATCGTATGTGCTTGGCATGTCGTAATGACTTACCATGACGATTCATGAGTACAACGTTGTAAGAACCGAGCATTTCGGTGCGATAGAAGTCAGGCGAGAGAGACCACTAAAATCTGACTGTATCTGATTTGGATTTGATGGTGGTAGAGTATCGAGGATATTGAAGACATCGATACTCACATCTACATGATGATTATTCGCGGCCGGTGGTATCCCTAACAATCTAGGGAGAAGATAGTGATGGAACCGAAACAACGAATGGAAATCAACGATATAATCAGTGGCTTGCTATCTGTGATATTGACTTCTGCCTAACGACAAAATTCTCCGGCGGCACAGAAGCAGGCGACGAGTACAGGCAGGCATGCTTTGCTGGGGCTCGAATGTTGATGCGGTTGATGTAAAAAATGCTCATGTTCATGGATAGCATCGTTATGAAAATTGAAGATTCGTGATTGGAGGGAAGGTGAGCTCATGGTTATTCGGCAAATCTTACTCTGACACGTGATCACTTTTTTTGGACTCCGTGGTAAGCATTTCAGCCCATGAGCTACCTCTTAACTAAGTACATTAACCTACATGAGCTCACTCTCGTTACTCGCAATAGCGGAACAAACACGAGAATGCCAGACGCATCCAAGCTATCAATCCTTGTTTCTTGCCCTTGCCTTTGCCTATACCTATCCAATCGGCCTTATCACCGCTTAGATGTGTGACCTCATATTATCATGTGCCAAGTGAGGGATTAACGGGCTCTCCAATCTTTCTCGAGACCAAGGACCGAATTATTTGATAACATCAGCTTTTCGGGAAGTACAACGGTCCTTGAACTTGCCTCGATCTTTCAATCTCTTTCTGAAGGATATTTCATGCTCAGTCAATGCACATGAGATACGAAGTTGCACTTGCACCCGGACTCGAGCTCGCTGTTATGCTCATAAAAACTGTCAAATTCCATCACAACGGAGATTTTGTACAATAGTTTGTTCTTAATCGACCCCATTTTATCGCATGACATCCATGAATTAAGAATCCCTGAAAATAAACTAGATTCAATATGTCTATCAAGATGATAAGCAGGGGAAGCATACATGGATATAATTCAAATCAACCACAACGTCGGGAATAACTCGATTTCGTGTGGATCTAAATCCTACGTTCAATTATCGATTATTGAATGAAAATGTAGGTTTGGCAAGGTGCTTATTGGATCTCTAGGCCAAGTTCGGTCAAAGAAGGGGAGTCCGGTCACTTCGAAGTGTTGAACACACATCATTCCATTTCTCACAATGAATCGGACAATCAAGGTACTTGAATACTCAGAGTCTAATTACGATATCTGGCTCAGTCAATCACTTCTCCTACATAATAGAGTATGTGAGCACAAAGACTGACACTTTTGGACCATTCTAATGCGCGTCGCATACGTTGATTTACAGCCTATCTGTAGTATCATCCCCCCTCCCTCCATTTTTCTCTTCTCTTCTTTCATTCATTACCTCTTTTATTCACCAGGAGCAAAGGGCGGAATAGTCCTCTCTCCTCTGATATCAAAGAGCCTCAAAATAATGTAATTGTACAGCACTAATATGCTATGTAGGACTACATTGCGCAACATAAATATGCAATCTGATTCAGTATATGACTATGCTATATTATAGTATGCACCGTATATACTGTTCTTTTATCTGTTTCCTTTTCTTTTTCTACTTTTTCTGCTTTTTTCTCATTATTCGCTTTCCTTCACAGGGGGAAGGGGGCGAAACGCTCCCCCAGGTATCAAAGAGAATCAAAAATATTGCATCACACCAATACCATAATGAGCATATGATTATATAGTCCGGCCAATTACAAACGTTTACGGCATACAAAGACCTCCCGCAAAATACTTTTGAGAAAATCTCAACACAATGATCTTCTCGCGGGATCTAAAAGCACTATTTGCATCGATGTCTTAACCCTGAAGAATTCATTCATATATATGTTTCTTAAAAGTTTAAACAAGGCCATCTACCTTCGCGTGTATAGCACAGTGACCTTCTAGAAAGCTATCGTGAACGTCGCCACTGCTGTAGTGGAGGTGCTCATTTCATAATAGGTATGAAGAGAACATTTGTATCAACGCGACCTTGAGAACAAACGCTGCACGTACCCTCCCTTTGAGCCCTTTCATAGTACTTACTTGTTTCATTTCCGTATAATTGAGTCTTTTCCATTCACGTCTCGTAAGTTTGAGGTTGTCCATGGTGTTTCAATGTCTTTGTGCAGATTCAAAACGCAATGGCGGAAGTCAAGTCTATATTCCACGAGATAATTTTCTGCTTGCTGGTCGTATTGAGACACATCTAGAGAATTCCCAATGTTTAGTAGAAATTTCCAAGCTTTTGTGCCAGGGTACATATGCTTGACATCTTCTAATCATGTAACTTGTTGCTTTGTCTATCGTCGTTACCCGTAAACTTTTCCACGGAGACAATCTATCATCGTACAATATCCGAGCTCTTGACAATGTTCAGCGAAGAATCCGCCGCGAAAGCACAACCGAGCCCCAAAGACACAACTCCGGGCATCACACTTCCTTACATGGTCATGGGAAAAAGTGCATCAGAGTCCGAGGATCCAAAATCTAATGCACATCCTCCTCAATTTCAATTCCCAGATCTTGGCGATTCCAAAAAATCGGATATTTTTATGGAAGCTACACTTAAAGTTCTCTGCCGCATGGTCTTTCCGTATAACGAAGATAAAATACGTACTATTTCCCCAATTCTCGATGAATATCTAAGCATCTGGCCTGAAATCTGCGTCGACAAAAGCAACATTTATCGTTCTAAAATCGAAAAACTTTGTACGTTAGATTTGAACTTGATGACAGCTCTTGTTGCGACGCAGGAAAAAAGAGACGAACTTTGGCTGGAATCTAATGGTTATGAGGATCACAGAGATGACGAGGAAACTCCCGAATTCCGAGAGGTGTATTGCCCTAATTGTGATGAGAGTAGCGAGGAAGATGAGAATGAAGACCTCTGTCACTGTCCGATTCATCCCAACACCGGCACCGAATACCTCGCTTGTGGGATAACAACGAATCCATGGAAGAATGGTCCTTTAGATGGAGACAAGGAGCCTGTCAAAACTACGGCGACCTGTAGTGCCCGTGAGATGGCGGCGCCTAAGATTCATGCGGATGAGGATGACTGTGGTTGCCTCTGCGTGACGTGCTGTGCTTCTCGCGGCCTTGACAGTGATGATGATAGTTATGTCTTTCCTTAGTCAGAATCAGAGAGCGAAGATGAGATGCCCTGTCAATGCTAGTCGAGTAACGAAGATGTCTAGTATGAAGGGAATACTTCTAGCAGGGGCTGATCCTTGACACAGACACAAGACAGGTAGATGGTTGGTTTGTTGCTTGGTAATAAGGTTGAGATGGGAGGCTTTCTTTATTCTGACAAGAAGCGAAGGCTCGTTAGAATTGGAAAACATGCCTCATGAAAATTCATCATCCGCAGATTGTGACTTTTCATGTGCTCAAAGATACGCAATTGATTCAACAGACCCATGCTCAGAGATGTTGGCAAAATATCATCACAGTCATATTATATCTTGTAGAGGACAGGTGAAAATAAATGATGAATCTTATTCAGCCTATCACTTATCTCTTCTATGTTCTTAACAAGTGAAAATCTACCATCTCCCAAATAGATAGCATACTCAAGAAACCAAACTCTTGTTTCAAGGGAAGTTCATCTTGAGTTCGACCGATCGGAGTTGTGAATATATCTAGAATGCTTGGTCATTATTGGTAAGCTGTATTAGTATTATAATCGAGGATGATTTTTATTGGAGCAAAAGCGGTGCAAATCGATACGTTTATCTGCTAGCAGAGTGTTAGCTATTATTTCGAGAATTGCACACGTCGGTATAACCACGTCGTATCTCAGATTGTTGGCCAACGATAGTTAGTCAGCACAAAGAGAGACGTTTAAAGGAAGGCCGAGGAGTAGCTTTTCTTTGATTGTGTTTACTGAGATTGGGATTAGATACGAAGCAGAATCTTCAGCATCACGTGGAAACCCGGTTGAAACTGGTAGCTTCACTGCTTATCATCGAGTGTCGAATATCGGCTTCGATAGTAAGGTTCTTGAGATTGACCAAGGCTGGTCTGGTCATTATTCCTTTTTCCTAAGAATCAAAAGTAAAGAAAGGTGCATGTAATATTGAGCCAAGAGTCTTTCATCCATGAGAAATGGTCGCCGCCAAGCCGTGGAATATCATATTGATGGAGGGGATTGGTGAAAAAATAACATGGCGTTGTTTCCCTCAGAGCATGAGACAGAATATTGCGGGGGTTTTGACAAGTTTCAATCTTTCCTTGCTAACCTCCTCCTGCAAATGGTAGCATAGAGGCCACATGAGCATCATTCTCGGTTGATAGAGCGCATATACCCCACCGAGAAGCAATAGATGTTAGTCTATTACCTCAGAATGGCAAGGGAGTAAGCATACAGCCTAGTCTAGAGGCTCTGATGCGAGATATTCAAGATAAGTCGTACGTATCTTGTATTCAACAGTACCACACAGCATCCGCCATAGCCTCAGACACCGGTGACATTGGTTGCCCTAAACGATGTCGTACAGTCATTTAGGAAAGAAGTTTGACGAATATGGTTTACAGGATAGAATATTGAGGAGACGTTGCATGCAAACGAAGTAATTCCTCCCGTTTAGAATACGAGTGGATAGTACCTATATGATAAACTAGATCCGAAACTTCGGGGACTAACTTAGGATGGATCCGACGACTTCAGGCTAAGAACTGGCAAAAGAAAAGGATACAGGAAATAGAACGGCACTGTTATAGTCAGGGAAGATTTTGTAATTACCGTTGAAAGTGCTCTAAGAAAATGACATTCTTTATGTCATGCATGCGCAGTGAAGCCTGTGCAACAATGAATCTGTTTTGCCAACATGTGAATGTAAGATATATGGTTCCATCGATGCGGCAGCGGTACATAGATCCGTCGGGTTTTAACATATCTAATAGTGAATGAAACCTCGTTGCATGTCGCGCATATATATACTCCGTAGTACGCCGGTTGCGGTAGATATAGATAGGCACCGTCACGAGTCGGGAAATAGGGTCGTTCTCAAGCCCTTCAATTTAATTAAATTTAAGGGGCATCGGCAAATCTCAGCTGCCTGGACAGAACTCTTGCCCATGCTTGTGACGTGCATTTATCATCATCACCACTTTGAGCTGTTGCAGAGGTTTTCTTCATATGCAAAATGCGGAGGCACTGCTTCCGAAACCTTATTTTGGACAGCCGACGAGCCCTGTTGCATGGGGACTTTGCCGAAACTGTCCGATAGAATCATATTTGGACGATTAGTGCTAGAAAATAGGACGCAACAAGATATATTGGGAAGTGCAAAAGCCTCTACGGTATAAACGTTGAGGTTGTGATATTTCACTATATCACATCAGGACGCAGAAAGCAAAACGGGTAAAGTAGATAGATGGCTTGTCAAACGCATAAGGTTATACTAGTCGACTCTTGAGGCTGCCATGTGCTCTTGATACTATCGCCAATCAACATTACAATATCCAAAGCTTTTTGAGAAGTTCGGCGTCGTTCTGCAGGTACGGCGTTTTAATGTTTGGGGTTTGATGTTACAGTATCCCGGAAAGTCGTCCTTGGAAAGCCCTACCAGGGTGCTTGTCACAGTCCATACCTTATTGGCTGTGCGACATCGATATCAAGAAATCTACCAGGAACTTGTGATATTAAGGATCTTCGACTATGTTATGTTTTCCATGGCCAGATTGTACGGAATCGGTAGAATGAGAAATCGACACGAATGTCATGATGCTCGGCATTCTAGAATGACTTCCAAGTTGCTTTGCTCCTTCCGAGGTTATGTTCCGAAGATAGTCCGAATAGCTTCCTTGATTCGTCAACTTAATTACCAATCATCTATCTAACATCAGGTACTGTATGATCACAACTCCTCGTTTCTTCTCCGTACATGCAGAATAAATGGATTCCCGAGTGTCCCTAGTCTTGCGCAGATGTTGCAAAAGTGTGCAAACGACCAATCAGATTGGGCAGTATTGGCCGCAAGAAACATCATCCCTTCCTTCTTATCCTAGAAGACAACTTAATACCCAATCTTTGTCAAACGCGGGATGAAGACCCCGCATGTAGTAATCCCATTTTGGAGCTCCGAAACCTCACATATGGGATCCATGAATTTACAAAACTTCTTGAACTTGCTACTTGTCACCCAAGTCAGAGAGCTAATCAATGCTCAGATATAAGAAGAGCATCATTCCTTTGATGTTGCTGATAGATCGTATCATCTGCATGCCAACTCCTCTATAATATACTTCTGCCCCCCTTCTACAATGCGTACGGACCATACCTTTTCAAACAATAATTTACACCAAACTGCATCTACATCAAATTCATCCAATATGCCCGAGCATACCATAATTCCAATCGATAAAAATTGGACCTTCAAACAGGCGGACAGTGAAGATTCTAAATTTCTCCCCGTCGCACAATTTCCCACGAATGTTCATTTGGATCTCATTGCAAATGGCATCATAGAAGATCCTTTCATGGGAAAGAACGAAAACGACGTCCAATGGATTGGTGAAACTGTCTGGATATACAGAACAACATTTTCATCACCCACGATATCATCAGAAGACAAAGCTGGCACCAAAGCAGTGCTGGCATTTGATGGATTGGATACTTATGCCACCGTTCTCTTGAATGGAAAGGAAATCCTCAAAACAGATAATATGTTCATACCTGAACGAATTGACATCACATCTCACCTAAAAGATGAGGGAGAAAATGAACTAGAAATCACATTTGAGAGCGCATATCTCAAAGGATGTGCCATAGTGGAGAAATATCCGGATCATCATTGGGGCTGTTGGAATGGAGATACTTCTAGACTTGCTGTTCGGAAAGCACAATATCACTGGGTATGTGAAAATATTGTTGTATGGAGAGGAATTATAGATCACTGACATTTGACCTCATTTAGGGATGGGATTGGGGCCCAACCCTTATGACTTGTGGGCCATGGCGACCAATAAACCTTGAGCTTTTCACATCCCGCATCTCCGACGTCTATTTCACAAGCAATGTGGACAAATCCTTAAAAACTGCGGAACTCGTTGCGAAGGCGGACGTTCAGGGTGAAGCATCGCAAGTTAAGTTTGATATTACTTTGAACGGCGAGCTTGTTGCAAGTAAGACGGTTACCTCTTCTGATGGTCATGCTACCCATGCCTTTACGGTTGAAGACCCTTCACTATGGTTTCCGATCAGATATGGTGAACAGCCATTATATGATCTCACTGCAACTTTAATCCACAATGATAAAAGTATATCAACACAAACTAAGAAGTTTGGGTTGCGTCGAGCAGAGCTAGTGCAGGATCCTTTGAAAGACCAGCCAGGAACATCGTTCTTTTTCAGAATCAACAACATTCCAATATTCTGTGGCGGCAGTGACTGGATCCCCGCCGACAACTTCATTCCCCGCATCAGCAAAGAAAAGTATTATGATTGGGTTAAGCTGGTAGCAGACGGGAATCAGTTTATGATTCGAGTCTGGGGTGGTGGAATATTTGAGGAGCAAGCCTTTTATGATGCATGCGATGAATTGGGTATTCTAGTATGGCAAGATTTCATGTTCGGTTGTGGAAATTACCCTGCTTTCCCAGACTTTCTCTCTTCCGTGAAGAGAGAAGCTGAGGAGAATGTCAAGCTTCTTCGACACCATCCATCCATCGTTATCTGGGCTGGCAACAACGAAGATTACCAATATCAAGAATCGGAAGGTCTCACTTACGACTTTGACAACAAGGATTCGGAGAGTTGGTTGAAGACCAATTTTCCAGCAAGATACATATATGAGAAGATTTTAGTCGATGCTTGCACCGAACTAATTCCAGATACATACTATCACTATGGTAGTCCATGGGGTGGAAAGAAAACCACTGATCCTACCGTTGGTGATTTGCATCAGTGGAATGTATGGCACGGTTCTCAAGAAAAGTATCAAAACTTCGACAAGCTCGTTGGACGCTTCGTCTCAGAATTCGGCATGGAAGCATTCCCAAATATTAAAACTATAGAAGCATTTCTTCCACTCGGCAAAGACGATCCCGACCGTTTTGCCCAATCCTCCACGGTCGATTTCCACAACAAAGCCGATGGGCACGAGCGCCGTATCGCTCTTTATCTCGTCGAAAATTTCCGCTACGCTCCTGACCCCCTCGAGCAATTCATCTATTCCACTCAGCTCATGCAAGCCGAGTGTCTAGCTAGCGCCTATCGACTATGGAAACGCCAATGGAAAGGTCCTAGTAGAGAATACTGTGGAGGTGCCCTAGTATGGCAAATCAACGATTGCTGGCCTGTGACATCCTGGGCAATCGTCGACTACTATCTCCGACCAAAACACGCCTATTATACCGTCAAACGTGAAATGGCACCTATTTCCCTAGGTATCACACGCAAAGAACACATCACCCCCAAAGATAAATACACCCGTGCCCATCTCACCAAGAAAACCCAAATCGAAATCTGGGGTTCAAATCTAGGTCTCGAAGACATCACAGCCGACGTCCTCGTCAAAGCATTCGACGTCATCACCGGCCAAGAAACCTACTCCAAAACCATCGCCTCCTCTCTCCTCCTACCCGAAAACCGCTCCACGGAAATCATCGCACTGGATGTCCCCGTGCAAACCCCCAATTCAGATGAAGAATCCCGCACCGTGGTCGCCGCATATCTTATCCAAGACGGCGTGCACATCGCTCGCTACGTCAATTGGCCCGAGCCGCTAAAATACGTACATTTGCAAAAACCCACGGATTTGCGTGTCCGTTTGTCGGAAGATGCGAAGACGGTGGATATTAGCAGCGAGGTTCCGGTGAAGGGGGTGGCGCTAGAGTGCGATGACGAAGAGGTGGTGTTTGAGGATAATTTGGTGGATGTGGTGCCCGGAGAGATGGTTAAGGTGGGAGTTCAGGGTGCGAAGGCGGATACGAAGATTGGAGTCAGGTATTTGGGGATGGTTTAGGGGATTCGAGAAGAGCCAGTCTCCTGAGTTTCTTCTACTAAGTTTCTTTCTTCTTTTCCGCTGAGAGGATAAATAGGTATTGTTTCCTAGGGTCGCAGTAATGATTATATGAGGATTTTTATGATGGATTGGTGCTAGGCGGGGATTCGTTCATGAAATAGATCAAATACAAAGATCTGTCTTTCGATACTGTTAAATCTCAATTCTTGGTAGAAGATGCATACAGATCAGACAAGTACATTCATCTCTCGTAGGCTGGAACCATGAAGTCTTATTTTCGGATAGTTGTACCTGTATCCCATCCGAACACCCTAGGTGGTCACAAGACAGCTCAAGAGAAGTTTCGATGGACAGCTATGCGAGTACAGAGGACATATATTCATCAGTTAATTATATACAATAAATACACTTGCCAAGAACAAGATTCCCCTATTTTCGTTTTTAGAACTTTAGATGTGATATCCTGAACCCTCATCGTTCATGACCCTCCGTATCCCAAAACACTTACACTCTTCGTACTCCGACTCCTACGCTACAACATGCTCAATCCATAACATTTACTTTTCATTGGGTCCCTTAATCAAGACCTTAATTCCCTTTCCTTCCTTCACACTCTTGAAAGCCTCCTCCGCATCCTCAAATTGCACTTCGCCAGTAATCAACTTCTTTACATCTACCTTCCCTGTACTAACCAATTGAAGAGCCAATGCATAGTCACCACTTCCATATCTGAAACTTCCCTTTGCAGTGATTTCCTTAGTGCACAATTCCATAATTGGGAAATTGATGTCTGCTTTGCCCATTCCTCCTTGGACATATGTTCCTCCACGACGAACGACATTTATAGAGGTTTGGATGGAGGGTTCTGCTCCGCTGGCATCTATGACAACATCTGCGCCTTCTGGAAGTCCAATTTCAGATTTCAGAGTTGCGGCGTTCTCTGCAGCGGAGACGCGTTGAGGAGTAAAGGTGTGGGTAGCGGCAAATGATTTCGCGAATTCGAGACGGCTAGGTTGGATATCTGCTGCGACGATGATGGAAGCTCCGTATGCACGAGCTACTGCCATACATAATAGACCGACGGGACCTGCTCCCATTACCACGACAGATTGTCCTGGGGTAATAACAGCTTGTTTGCAAATGTGGACTGCTACAGCAAGAGGCTCAAGCAGAGCACCTTCTTGAAGCGATACATGTTCAGGTAGTTTGTAACAGAAATCCTCTGGAGAAGAATAGAACCCTGTAAGAGTACCATCGATAGGAGGGGTGGCCGCAAAGTGCATCTCAGGGCACAGATTATAATGACCCGAAAGACAAGCTGGACAACGACGGCATGGATACCCAGGCTCAAGGGCAATACGATCTCCAACCTTCAGAGTTTTGACTGCAGAGCCGACGCTAACAATTGTACCTGCAGACTCGTGGCCAAGAATCATAGGATCTTTCACAACATAGGGACCGATTGCTCCTTCAACCCAGTAATGAACATCGGATCCACAGATACCGGTATAGTTTATGGCAATGAGAACATCGTGTTCCGATTCGAGCTTGGGAACTGGTCTCTCTTCGAATTTAACAGAGAAAGGCTTTTCGAGAACGAATGATTTGTTCTATAAGAGACAAGATCGTTAGAAAGAAGCTTTGAATAACAGACGGAGATATTTAGTATTTCTTACGCTTTTTCCTGATATATCTGCCATTGTGTCTGAGGATTATTACACCAGGTAATTGTCGAATTTCAGTCCTTTTTGTTTTGTAAATTGAAGAATCGAGTTGAAGGATTGAAAAAGAGATGTGTAGTTTCAAGCTGTTGAATGGGTCGGTCATATCACCCCACTCTGGCATTGACCCCGCGACGATTTATCCATGTTTATCCGCTCCAATCAGACCATATGATGCCATGGAAGAAAGTAATCCGAATATCCCGTAAACTCGGCGGGAAGGTACGACGAGAGCCTCAAATATATCGAAAAGTTATGCGACAATGAAGTTATATGCGCTCGTTAATATATTGGGTATTTGATCGATATCATTCCGTAGGTGCATTCAAAAGTTGACTTCAATGTGAATTTGTTTTTCGCTCGACTGACGTCATTGTCGATGATGTATGAAATCCTTCACCGGTATTGAATTTATCACGCCTTTCACTCATCGATGAAGGAATTTGTAGCTGAAGTAAAGTATCCAAGCCAGACTCGTGAAGCCAGACATTTCAAACCCAAAGGTCTCTTTTGGCGCATTGCTCGTTTGGGAACTTGTACTCAGACTACCGGTGACGGTCGTAGTTGACATGGTGCTACTGAATTCGGTGACGGTGGATACATCACTTAAAGGTGTTTCTTGAGGCGATGGAGTTGTAATTTCTGTGGCAGTGATAGACAATGGAGAAGTCGCAGAAGCAGCAGCAGTGAGAGATCTATTATACGAACATGTTGCCGGAGTGAAAGTTGTCCAAGAACTAAGTGCTGGAATATAAGTCGACACAGCAGTATCACACAGCATAGTATATCCGATCCGGTAACTTTCCGTTGTTACATTATCGATTGAATTATTGAACGAATTCGAAGTTGGAGAAGGGGAAGTCATAGTTAGAGAATATGACAATCAAGGGAGATATGTGAAGGTAAACATTTAAAAATCCAATTGAATAAAATGTACAAGTTCTTCGAGTTGCTCTCCAAAAACAAGAAAACAAGACAATAACTCCAATTCTAGATCATGAAAGGCGGTGAATACTTATTTTGGCAGAATTTTTCAATGACGCTTATGATAATTGGAGGACATCAAAGCCGTAGGGCCCAAGTACTACCAGAGCTCCCAACTTTTCAGGTCACTTCAATTCTTGTGGCCAATTGATAAAATATGAAGTTCGAAATCATACAATTTCAATTGAAATCAACAACCCATTCATAATCCTCTCAATTGCTTTCCTCCTACCCCGCAGCCGTATCAAATACCGTCACCTCAAAATGTCGATTCCAATAAGAGGCATGCTCCGTAGCCTACGTCCAACATCCGCTTTTCGCACAATTGCCCCCTCAACCCAACGAACATTCATAACCCTCCCCGGCAGCGAACCGCAGATTCTAACGGAAAAGCGAATTCTGCCCTATAAATCCTCATCCCTCTACAGCCTAATCGCCGACGTAGACAGCTACTCGACCTTCGTTCCCTACTGCACCTCCTCCGTTGTAACAAAATGGTCCGCACCCGATTCCACGGGTAAAAAATGGCCGGCTGAAGCAAATCTCACCGTCGGCTGGGCTGGCGTTGAAGAAACCTTTACTTCCAAGCTTCTCTGCGTTCCAGGCACTATCGTCGAAGCACTTGGCGGGGATGCTGCAACTTCCATTCCTGAATCCAAAGTTCCTCATCATTCAGAAACATACCATAAATCCGCTTCTGCCAACAGTATATTCCAAAGTCTCAATACGCGCTGGTCATTGAAACCTTTCCATTATAAACCACCGAGTGGTCAACCACAAACTGATAAAACGGAACATGATGCGAGGGAACAAACAGAGGTGAACTTGGTTATCGAGTTTCAGTTCGCGAATCCGTTGTATACAGCGTTGAGTAAAGCGGTTGCGCCCCAGGTAGCACCGAAGATGATTGAGGCATTTGAGCTGAGAGCCAGAAAGTTGTTGGATGGGCCTGGCGCAGGCAAGGTTGATAACAAGACATCGTTTGGCCATGCGTTTGATGCAGCTAAGAAACTCGGTGCATAAACTGGGGGATTAGATTTACTAGATTCCTTTGATAAAGATGATAGAGTCGTCGTACTCTGAATATGCTGTACTATATAATGACAAACCTCAGGGCGATAAAATCTTTGTATCATTGGTTGTGCTGCTGCAAGGGCAATTTTATCAAAAAATTGTTCCCGTCTCACCATGTCAATTGAGATCAATTCAATGCTTTAGTTGACTTATATGGATACTAGAGTATTTTTATTCACTCAATGTTTGAGGCAGAGCGAAATATACTTCGAATTCAAATATTGGCAGTTTGCAGATGTGCTGGTAGTTTGTCAAGAAATACGATGGCGTACAGATTCAAATACAGTCAGCTGGACTGAAGATATGTATATAAAAATTGGCAGACGATTACCAAAATTTCAACTCTCCACAGAAGTCCTCCAATCGTGAGAGCCATAGTTGATGTAACAACAGGACCTACACTCCCCCCTCTCTTACCGTTCAGCTGATATCTATATTCCCACTCTTCTCCGAAACAACCACCCCGCATTCACAACCCGGCCTCATGCAACTTAATCTTAACCCCATTGCCACTACACATAGTCAACGTCAAATTAAACGTAACTTCCTCCATGTCAACACTTTCTATCTGATCAAATTTCTGCAGTAATCTGATGAGAAAGAAACTGGCTTCTGTGAGTGCATATTGTTGGCCTAGGCAGATGCGAGGGCCACCATTGAACTGTAGTTTTGTGTTAGTAAGGGTTTTTACTTGTAAGAGTATTAAACATTGGAAAGCGTTGTCATGTGAGAAAAATCGAAGAAGATTGAAATGTGTCAAGGGAGCTTGCGAGCTCGATAGAGCGGTTCAATGTCTATATTAATGGAAAAAACGCTTTTGGGGAAGGGGAGGAGTAAAGGAACAGTAATAGAAATCACGCATCGTAACATACCGGCAAATATTCCCAACCTACTTTCCTTCCTTCCCATCTCTCCGGCTTAAACTCATTCGCGTCCTCACCCCAAAGGTCTTCTCGTCTATGCAACGCAAAAACACTATACTCCACCACTGTACCCTTTTTCACAAAAACCTTGCTCTTCCCATCCTTACCACCACCACGTGGCAACGTAGTATCTTTATTCGCCACTCTGAAGTTCCATGGCACTAGCGGATACAATCTTAATGTTTCGTTCAGAATCCACTGAAGATATTTACAAGTCTTGATATGCATAAACGTGATATTTTTCGGCTCATTGAAAGTGCCGAATTCTTCCAAGACTATCTCTCGCAATTTTCGGTAGCATTTAGCATCTCGGGCTAGTTTGAGTATAGTAAATCCAAGAAGAGATGCTGTGGTATCCCGACCTGCGAGGAGGATGTTCATGACCTGTGCACGTAGTTCTATTGGATCCCGAGTTTGCTCTGCTAAAGCTTCGAGAAAAACGTAGTGGTCTGAATCGCTGACCTCTCCGGCTGCTTTCATCTTCTCGAGATTTTCGGCAACAATTCGATCAATGACTCGATGGCAAGTTTTGATGGCCTTCCTGAAACCACTTGGCCACACCAGCCACTAGAATTTGAGATAGTCAGTAAGGCTATCGTAGGGGAGCTTTGATGGGGACAGGTAGATAATTTGGGCTGCATTGTGACATTAAAGGGTTCCAAAACATTAACATTTAACCTGCTCTGGGGGTTGCAGACATAAATTCAAAAAATTGAAGTGTACCCACACTATAGGGAGCAAATTTCGACCTCTTTGTCAAGCCCATATTGCCAATGTCGAATTCTCTTGCAAAGGCGTCGGCATCTGTCTCCTCACCCTTGATACCAAGGGTAGTTTGTATTCCCGCAAGCTGACTCTCAACACTCTGACCCAAAAGAAACTCCGTTGCCGTATCTAATGTGAATCGGAATAGTAACGGTTGAATATCTATTTCGCCCGACCAGCCATCTTTTTCGATTTCAGGTAGAGCCTTCAGCAAGACCTTGACATGTCTTTCTTCCATTTCCAAATCACTCAAGTTATCCCTTGCAAATTGTGGCCTCATAAGTGCCCTCGATCGTTCCCAATCTTTTCCATCTTGTGCGAATATACCAGGTCCCAAGAATGGCTTGAAATTATCAATCCTTTGAGCACCTAGATCGAAGTCTGGAAATTGTGTTCCAAGCATCGCTTTGATGTTGTTTTCGTCAATAGTTGCGAAGCCATCGTTGCCGAGAATTGAATTGCTGTACGTAAGAGCATCTACTTCTTCGAATTTCTTTTGGGTGTCGAGAGGGAAATTCTTCACCGCGAGAGAATTAAGAGCTCGAGTCACTTGATCGATACCTAAAGGAAGATTATTCTTTTGGGCGGCTGGACTTTCGCAATCAAGCTTCCTAGCTTTACTTCGACGATGCTGTGATTGTATTAAACTGTTGACAATGGCATAGATGACATAAGAGCCCAAGATAGCTATGACTGCCGATTTTGTAGAATACCCCAAGATTGTACCCGTGGAGTAGTCCATGGTTGATAGAAATGACTCAAAAGCTTGAGGTTCGAAGTTGGAAGAGAGAGATAAATAAAGAAAGGGTCAATTTTCCTGCTTTATGTAACATATGGTGTCGCTCAGCCCCGAGACACTTGTATGATGGTTGACGGAGCTAGGGACGATTCAAGAAATGGACATGCTGATCGATATGTAAGATTGCAGAAGTTGCTAATAGCAGCCTGCATGAGCCTGTAGAACTACCATAGCGGATAAAATAAATTAGTAGAAACGGAAGGTACTACCAACCGCCTCTTGATGTTTGTGCGACCATATTCGCATGTGATGAGATTAAACAGAACGTTTCATTCTCCGTCTTGAATCTTTGAAACTCCCTTACTAGAAGTCTCGATCGACTGCTTTGATTTTCCAAATAAAAATGGTACGATTGCGGGATTCCGGTTCATGTTTTGATCCCGGAGACAATTCTTGTACAACGATCCGGTACTTATTCCTGTGCCATCTTGGATATACAAGTGAAATACAAGTATAAGGATTTACCTAGTATGCATGCTTACTACCGACAGATACGGACGTAAGATTTAATGTCTGATGACGAGTTCGTGGAGAGGTCATTGGTGTAGCAAGTTGTAAAAAGACATCTTTCGATGGATAGCAACATGTAACATTGGCAAAACAAGTTTATCGAGATGTCCCCAAATCCGCTACCCTCGGCCGTCGGAACACCGTTCTATAATGTATCCTTACAGTGCATCATCAATGAAAAATCTTTATGTCTTGCCGCCTACCATATGCTATTACTATACACGAATCTTGTGTGACGCCGATGATGTGGAAATATCCGTTCTTCCGTGCACTACGTCCAAACGATTTATCGACTCCTGCGCTCTCTATGATCATCTCTATCTCTCCTATACGATCTGTCACGATCATGATGACGATCTCTTTCCCTCTCCCGGTCACGGCCCTCATCTCTATCTCTACGATGACTTCTCTCATCTCTCTCCCTAGCGTAATCACCCATTTTCTTCTTATCCCTATCACTTCCTCTATGTGAATGAGACGAGCCCCCAGGTCGCAACCTTTTAGCGTCGGTCTTCTGAACCCAGGCCCCTAATTCCTCTGCATCTTTCAGTTCCTTTGCTCCCAAGCCTAGTAAATTCTGCCTCCTCTTCGCCTCCTTTCCACCGCCTTTTCTTTCTTTGCCATCCCATCCCATTCCTCTTAATAGCGCGGCACCGAATTCTTCCACCGGCACCGCATCATAATCCTCTAATGTCGAAACATCCGGTGCTGATGCAATAGCTCTCTTGTAGGCATCTTCTTCTGTGGCCATATCATTTCCGTTTTCATTAACAGAAGCAATGATCAAGTCTGGCCCATTTCGTTTTGACTCCACCCCCATTAATGCCTCGATTGCCAGCTCATCTTCCGTTTTTATATTTGGCTTATCTTCCACTTCCGCCACTTGCATCGTCTGTTCAATGGTTCGCTCGCTATCGATTAACTCCTCCTTGACTTTAGTCTTCACAGTCAATCCCCATTTTATCTCCCCATCATTCCCATTCACAACATCTGCCTTTTCTTCATTATCTTCTCCAGCTCTCCTCCTCTGCTCCTCCTCTGGCAATAAATTCCTCCCTCTTCCTTTTCTCTCTCTCGCTTCCCCCTTCCAATCTTTATTCTCTTGTTTCGGAATGACCAGTGGCGCAGCCACTCTCTTCTCATCTCCTTCTCTAATAACGCCTCCATCCGCAAACCCAGTAACAACCTCATGCTTTACCCTTCTCGCGCTTGTGCCATTATCTGAATTATCTGAATCTTCGTCATCATGCGCAAAGGTGCTTCTAGGCCGCTTTCCCAACCCCGATTTAGGCTGCGGCCTACCATTTGATTTCGCCGGGCCATTTTTAGATCCTGCGCCCAAGGAGAAACCTTTCATGGAAATTTTGGGCGCATCGCTCGATGGCAACATTCTCGGTCGCGGGATAGAGATTCGGACTGTATGTGCGTGTTCCAAAGGATGATTCTACTGATTCTACGGTGTAGAGTAATGCGTGAATGGAAGATGTGTACGATTATATAATTTGAGTATCCGACGACACCAGTTAAGAATCGGTATCTTGCTCAAATTTGTGATCTCTCAAAGCGCTTTGATATGAGATTGAAGGATATGTTTTGCGATTGAAGTGTTGCAAAATTTGTATATGTTGCGACTCAGTAAGATCCTCGAAACACAATATTTGGGCCAGTACAGTGGGGCCATCAGAAACACCACGTGATTGTTGTTATCGATACGTAGAGCCTCAGTCGTATATCATCGCCACTGAGTACGACTGAATGTAAAAATAATTTTCGTTCAATATTTCTACGAGTCCCTTTAAAACATGGTTTTACCAGTATTTCATATATATAATAAAGCCTCATGTAAATTGGGGGATACGGCCTGAGCGACTTAAAATTTAAACACATCATAGATCTTATCATTCGAACCACAGCAGCATCACTTCATAGAGCCCTGCTATCATAGCAAAACGAACGATATAATTAGATATTAATGAGTAGGAAAAAGAAAAGGGTATCTTCCTTTCCTATTTTTCAGAACGCCTGAGAATCCTTCTCCTCTACGAGAGGAACGTCAATACAACCATTCTAAAAGGCAGATCCATTAACCATAGGTGCCAACTTCTCAGTAAATAAAGTTTTCCCCTTCACCATGTTGACTACGAAGCTAGGGAATTTCATTCCTCCCATATGACCTGTACCAACCTTCTTGCCAACTGGGACTGCCAACATATCTATAATAGAGTTAGTTTACCAGGATACTTAGACGAAATTAAAATAAGAGTAAAGGGGGATAAAAGAATGGGGACGGAAAGGAGGGGAGAGAGGGGGGCGACTGACTTTTATCCGCGACCTTGTAGCTCAAAGGCTCGGAGTTCTTCAATATCAATACAATGTTCTTCGCAACATGAGTGCTTTGTTTGTCGGTATTCACATATTGGGGACGTTCAACAGCCGACACATCACCCACGACCCATACATTTTCAGCATCCTTCAATCTCAAGAACTGGTCCACCATTGCGAAACCGGCTGGGTTGAGATATTTCTCTGGAATAAATGAAGAGTTTGGGATGAGACCCATGGTTGGAATGTACAAGTCGGTAATGATTTTCTCGCCGTTGGATAATGTGATTTCGGTTTTTCCATCAGGTGTCTTTGCTGTGCCGGAAACCTTGGTGGATACTTTGATCTTGACTTGGAGGTTTTCAAGTTGTTTAGTGGCTGTTTTGGAGACACTTGCGGGGGTACCTTCAAGTATAACAGGGCCACTTGCAATCTGTACATGGGAGTTAGTAAATAGGCTCGAAATTACATTAATCTCCGTTCAAGTACTTACCAGAGTGACCTGCTTCGAAGAACCATATGCAAAACCTAACTCGCCAGCCGTTTCGACACCTAATTGGGTATATGAGCATTGGGTTTTGTGGTTGGTCATAGACGAAGAACATACCTGTCGCTCCAGCCCCAGCTACATAGATGGAAGATGCATCCTTGACCTTGGCTTGCCATTCATGTAACAAGTCAAGTGATTCTTGATATGAACCCTTGCCCTTGAAAGGTGATTCTTCTTTGGGTCTTGAGCCCGTGGCGAGAATAAGAATGTCATAATTCAAACTCGATCTCTCACTATCTCTCGAAACAACAACTGTTTTGTTCTCCACGTCCAATCCCTCAGCGGTACCGACAATAAATTCGAATTTATCAGCAGTGTATTGCTTAAATCCTGTAGCTATGGATGCGAAAACTTTCTCATCTGGCATTCCTCCAGGTACAATTGCTCTTGTGGCTGCAAGATTCCAGTATACATGGGTGTTTGGTGAAACTAAGGTGATCTTGATGGCGAGTCCAGCTTTGGCTGATTGCTTTAGTATTCTATGTGCTGTACTGACTCCAGCATATGATCCACCTAGGATGAGAATGTTTTTGAGAAGGTTGGCCATTATCTCGTGATGTGATAGTCTCAATTAGTTTCCAATATCAGAATACAATAACTAATTTGTGTGAGGATAGAAATGAGAGAATGGGAGGGTGTTGAAAATTGAGAGTGAAATGATTAAAGTATTATAATATTGAATAAAATTGATCACCCATGGTCTGAGATTATATACATTTCTCATATTCAGCCCAGAGTTAAAAGAACAGTGCTTTGTAAATTAATTTTGGATTTTGGTATATTGAGGAAGTCTGTGAACGAGCCGCAGATGAACGACCAATGAGAGGTCTTAGCGCCGCGGATCTGAGCCCATCGGAGAATTCAGCGCTTTGAAAAAAACTAGACCACCCCAAATTTGCCTAGCTGACCGCCAGTTCATATGAGTTGTTAAGCATCTTATTAAGATTGAGCTTTTGCTTATTCAAGATGGAAAATTCGATGATTCATCATCCAATTCCAGATACCATCTAGTCGTCTGGATGTCCGAAAAGGACTGGCTGTCCCTGTCAACCATCTGTACCTCAACGGAGATTGTCTGCTCGTCAGATTGAGAAATTTCCAGATAGAGCACTTTCCCAGTACGTTGGAAGTTCACGGCTGTCAAATTCCATCTGAAACGGGATTGCTAGGGTTTGGAATGGAGTGAAGAAACAAACGCGGGACGAGATGCATAATCGGTAGTCACATTTGCTACTCGCTCGGACGTGCGATGTTTCGGACATCACGTGTTTGGATGTACACGTCGTCGGGCGATCTGCATTGAACTCGCGTACTGGCTAGCTAGTTTTATCTAATTTGTCTAATTTTTCTATTTAAAGAGAGGAAGAGCTGACAGTGTAGTAGATATCCCGCTGTGAGGTAGGAGTCAAGCTACAAGCTAAAGCACGTGCTAAGTGTGTAGCTCACGAACTGACATCAGTGATGTCCGCTCTGGACTGCTTTGCGCGATAAGATAACAACACAAATTAAAATCATTCGCTTTCAAAATCTCAGAAGGAAATATCTGGATATCTCCGGACAGGAAGTAAGATTGTGGTTTGACAGGAAAGCCTAGCTTGATGAATTCTAGAAGCTGTTTAACTAATCAATACGAAACAGCCACTAAGAACACGCTGAGTTGTACTTATCTTCGTTTGATTTCTTTTCTCAAATGCAGTCAGTACATTAGAACTGCGGGGTGGCCATCAACTCCTCGAAGATGCTATTTTGGCCTAGCTTTTGAATCAAGCAAACTTTGTACATGTCCATAAGCTGTGTTAGATATGGTCCAATTGCCATCTATATATTGGTATATCAAAACTACGCCAGATGTGAGGCAGCCAGAATTTTTGCGGAAAGCTCATGGTCAAGTGGTTATCAATGAATATTTGGTGGCTATGCGCTTCCCTGATTCCCCAGATCATGTTACTTTGCCTTTGCTCTATTCTTCTCTTACCTTTCTGGGGGAACACGTGGGGAATTCTTGAGATTCAAATCCAAATCTAAATTATCACTGTCTCCATGATCTTGATTTCCTTTTCGTTCTAACCTGAATAGCAATATCGTTTTTCAAGAAGTTCTTGCTTATCATTTTCTTTTCTCCCGAGACACATTGCTTGGTTGGGTTTCTATGTTGGCAGTTTCCTTGTTTTTCATCATCATGAACTCGAATTGCCCCTTGACCATAACAAGATTTCCGATATTTGGAACTGCAGGTCAAAACAGAGAATCTTTTGGTTTTTGATTTCATTTGGAAGAATCGAATGATTATTTTAGAACTTTCAAACTTTCAAGATTCGTAGAGTTTCCTACCTGATCCTCTTCTGCTATCAAACTTTCCCTTCCTCATACTGGCAGGTGGTGAAGAGGTCTACGCTCCTTCCTCGTGAAGGTTATTCGTAGGACAACGGTATGTATTCAATCCTTCACTCTTTCAAACAAACACCTTGTCAAATCATTCAAAACAATTCTAAAGGTCTCATATATAATCTAAAAACATATTTCAACGTTTTCAACATTTATTTTGGGTATGTCTTTACTCATCAAAACATTCTTCTTTCAACTTTTCTCCTTTCTCATCCATTACGAAAAACTCCAATTTTTCACCATGATGGTCAAAGAAAACTTCACGGAAAGTTCTTCTTATTTGACTAACGGCATACGAGGTCGTACCAACCCTATAAATTCAAATAACACTGAGCAAGTTACATTGGCTACCAGATCCCAAAGAAAGGATCGAGGGTGCAAGACATCAGTCTCAAGGCTTGAAAACAAGCCTCCGGCTTTGGCATTCCATGGGAAAAGCAACAAACTCTTAAAATACCAATGGAAATGGGACCATGAAAGGGCTGTATTAAATACACAGAATTTGTTGATGGTTAGACTTCAATCTAAGTGGAAAGGCCACACGATCACGGTTCACCCGTTTGATTGGGAAACATTTAAGGCAAACGAAAAGAATGGCCACAGGTTGCTCACACGCACCATCAACTTCATTAAGTACCGGGATCAATACGTCAAGGATAATCCCGAAGATCTGAAGGACATGGATCAAATTTGTGCAAGCTGGGATGCCTCTCCATGTGCCGGTGATAATCCATACCGCGCAAAAGTTACGATGGGAGACCCAAGACTATTAGATTACTCATCTAGGTATCGGCAATTGCAAAGACAGAGAGAGAAGAAAAGGCAGCATATGCGGAGAACAAAGGAGAGACAAGAGAAGTCTGAGAAACTGTCAATGATTGAGGATCAAATTGAAGAACTCACTGATAGAGTCAGTCGACATCAGTTTTCCTGCGCGAGTTCCCCGTCATCGAACCTCTGAAAGCCTTCCCCCTTAATTGGGCAGATGGAAGAAACATATGGGCCATCATGATGAAATCGAGACGGTTCTCTGAATGGGCTGAATTGGTATAACTGCCGTCAACGGTTAGAAAACGAGACATCGAGTAGTTCATACGTCTTTTGTTTATCTTTTGTTGGGATAGCGTAGAAGTGTATGGTTGCATGGATGGAAACGGAAGAGGAGTTGTGCTTAAAGTCTCCTAATGGCGGTGATGGGAGAAAGGGTGGTTGATCACTATGTATCATTACCGCAGCATTGTATGTGCCACAGTACTAGTATGTCTTAGCGTGTACGCATAGGCTTATGCATATTCCCTCCGGCGTTTTTAACTATTATGAATAGTAAATAGTTTCACATCAAACATGGATACGTGCCACTCAATACCAATACATCTTGGACTACCCACATATCAAGGACCCTTTGATGATAGTACGGACATTTTCTGTCAAGTGAACAGTAATGATGGAAACCCCACCCATCACAGTTTCAGCGGCTACCTGGAGAGAATACGACTACACAAGCGCTTGCCTTCCAACATATTTTTTCGCTAAAATGAGGAAGCAGACAAGTATTCCCATCAGTCTAAGCTTCAGGAGACCTTTGATAAAGCTTTGTGCGCAACAGACAAGTAGATTGCACTTCGGACTAGTCTTAACTACGTTTGGTGAGACTTCATGTAATCTTTACAAAAATTCATGCATGAAGAAATTTCCGTACTTCCTAATGTCCCATAGATGTGATCGAGCGTTCTGACAAAAATAGATGAGATTGCATCCCATGAAACTCCTCTGAACTCGAGAGATCAAAAAGATATGGAACAGATACAGGCCCCCTTAAATGCCAGGTCCACTAACTCAAGGGATGGAACAGCAGCTCGCTTGTGTGAATTCAACGTTCACCCAATAAGTAACTCAATAAGACCTGCTTTTCAAAAAGATGAACGATAGCGTGCGCTGAATATGTATAGATCTAATTATCACGAGGCAAACCTGGGTATAACCATCGTACCGGTACCAACTTACATTCTTCACGACATCAAAAAATGAAGAATAATCGTCAAAATCCTCAGGAATGTACACTCCTCATCTCACCTCCCCATTACCTCAGAAACCACGTATCTCAATTACACATTCCCCGTCTTAAACATATATCTTCCCAATCCCCTGAATAGTATCCCCATAACAATACGAAGTATTGTATCACTTTCAACCACATCACATCATCAATTGCGTATTAGTAACCATGCGTTCAACCAATGTTATTCTCGCAATTTTTTCTCTCTCCTCTACGATCTCTGCGCTTGCGGCTCCGAGATCTGCAGCTCTGGATAAGGGGCTAGATGGATTTGAGAAGGATTGCCAATGTTCTGCTATGGGATGTATGATACTCTTCCCATACCTATACACCCCTAGATAGCATCAGACTAACAAATCCAGCCGTCTGCCACAAAGAATCCCATGTCAATTGCTGCAATGGGTTCTCCTGCGAAATGATGGATAATCCCAATGGGGATTATGGTATTTGTCGCGCGTCGAATGATCGCAAGAAGGATGACAAATGCATGTGTTCCATGTCTGATGGTAAGAGCTCTATTTCCAAATTTTTAAAACATAGAACTAACCAAATATTTTAGATGTGTGCCATCCAAAATCCGATATCAATTGCTGTTTCGGTCTCTTTTGTGATATGACCAATAACCCAAATGGCGATTATGGAAAATGTAAACCTTCGCATGAGTCGAAGAATCCACTCAAGAAAATCGAAGATGCGGAAAAATGCTTGGAATCTGGCTGTATGTTCTCTTCCAATCTGCTTCTTCATCGCACTTTAATACTAAAGCCTATTTAGCAATGCATTGCAATTTGCTAGGTGCACCACCATGTTGCTCCGGGGCGAAATGTAACAAGGTTGGAAGATCCGATAGCCAAATGTTTATGTGCGAAAAGGAATTCAATGATGAGGGTCAAGACGGTGATGACATGTGTTTGAAACCTGGTTGTATGTTTACCCCTCACCACTTTCTGTATAATACTAAGTCTTCGCTAGCAATGCATTGCAACTACCTTGGCTCCCCAAAGTGTTGTAGCGGATCAAAATGCAACAAGATTGGAAAGTCCGATAGTAACATGTTCATGTGCGAAAAGGAGTCTGATGATGATGATAAGAAACAATGTTTGGTTCCTGGAGGTATGTTATACTCTTTTACATCACATCCATCTTAGAATAGTAACTGATATCTCGCTAGCACACCACTGCAACATGTCCGGCATGGAATGCTGTCCTGGAGCAAGTTGTAAGAATGTCAGAGGTGAAAGCTTTATGTGTGCAAAAGACTCTGATGATGAAGACGATGTTTCAACTACTCTCTCCCAAGATCAAAAACCACTCTTCTCATCAAAAGACAGAAATATCTTTGAAGAAGATTGTGACAGGAATATGTGTATTGAAGGAGGCCGTACGTTCCTGATCCCATTCCAATCACAGTTCGTGAAATAGAGCTGACTCAACAATGCAGAGATGTGTCGTCGCCACAGGCAAAATTCCAAGTGCCCACCGGCTCCATGCTGTCCAGATTTCCAATGCGCATATATTGATTCTTATCGTGAATCTTTCTGTGTCTCTATGTCCGATTCGAACGAAAAGACTGAAATTGTTTCCTCAAAGAAACCCGCTGTGTCGAAAAAGAAAAAGAATGAATTGATGACTGAAAAATGCGCACCACAAGAGCCTACTGGGTGCTCACCTTTTGGATGTAAGAACCCCCCTTTCTCCTCATGCAATAGTAGAACTGACAGAAAAAAGGTCCATGCAAAAAAGATCAAGATAATAGCTGCTGCGGAGGTCAAAGTTGCACAGGTATGTCGGAATCGGGTATGTCATATTGCATGCCACCCGACGATCAGGAAGAACACTCTCGTCTATACGCATTGAAAGGGATGTTCCATGGGTTTGTGGAGAAAATCGAGAAAAAATATTGTTTACCACAAGGAGGTGAGTAACCTTTAATTTTTCTTTCTGTGAGATGGGATTGCTAATTTGAGAGTAGAATCATGTATGATGCAAAATGATAACTGCTGTCATGGATTGATGTGTCATTCTGGAGAATGCATGGCCGAAAATGACGAATTGAAGCTTTGATAAGAAGATTTTGAGTAAGATGTCAATGATTTTGAAAGTGCTGGAAGTTGTTTTATTCTGTTTTGGGATAGGAGGAAAATTGCTTTGTGTTTGTTTTGAGTAGGGAATGTGAAGTAGGAACATTAGTTGGTTGATTAAAAATACTTGTGAGCCAAACTTGGGACCTAGTGGTACTGAAAGTAATTTGCAAACCTACTTACGGAGGCTCGTATAAAATGTTTCCCTTGAGAAAGGTATCTAGAGCCCCCTTTTCTATTTGAATTTGCAATTGGGTGTCTGAGCATGCTCCTCCAAGGAGGTAAAAAATTCTTCACCTGGATGTCTGCTATGAATCTTGTGATCGAATGATTTTATAGACAACTTTCCTAGCCTCGTGATCTCAATTCGTGAATTATGCGATAGTGAATGGAGCGATGTATTGGTAATTCCACAAATTCGTGGTAGCCATCACAATAATAACATATCCGCAAATTGCAATCGTTTCTCCTCTCTTGACTTGGTGCCAAAACTGTTGACCAGCAACATTCGATAAAGTCAAAACCATTCTCTAATCGTACAAGCTCAATATCGATTTGGAATAACGATCAAGGAATCCATCCAATTTCTTCAATGGGTCCTCTAATCCACAACCGATGTTCATGATCCAATGAACCCCAAATTTGAGCAATTAGATATTCCGACCAACCTTTCATCCACCAATGTGAATCCAGATACTTCAATAACACGGCAAAATATGCAAAAATTGTGAGAGCCCCCGCAGTCCTGTGTCGAAGAAGTACGAAATAATGATCGTGTATTCGATACGGCCATATAAACATATCAGTCGGCTCGAAATCATGACGATCCCTATTTGCAAGCACGACGAAAGACTTTTGGAGCTCATCTATGCTGTGAATATATGCTTCCAAATCCAGTGGATCAGTCGTTGATTCTGACAGAAATTTGGCTAGATTGATGAGATCTTCGTTTGGGCGAGTAATCTGATCATTTCTCAATTGATCACGTCTCCCTCCAACATCAAACATGGGTCTTAGACTTCCACCGTAAATTAAATCTGGAGCATGATCTGTCAAAGCTCTGACTCCTCTCAAAAGAGAAACCCAATCCGATACATCATTATCGCCGACAATCAAGAGATCCAAAGGTTTCCGAGGACTTCCTATAGAGTATACTACGGTGAGGGAGGTGAATACATATAGGGGAGTACAATTTTCATCGTTGACGTCACTCATCATGGGAATCGCATCAGCTAATGCTTTTTGATGATGAAATGCAGCTCTCGCGACATACAGATCTCTTTTCTCTGGTTTATAATAAGCAATATGAAGGGCCGCAATTGCCATAAGACTTCGCATCAGAAATTCATGAGAGTATGAAAGTTGCGGAACGTTGACTCGCCATAATGTTGCGATTGAAGGGCTCGAAGTCAAAGTCATGGACGTAGATGTTGTGTAATGATGAAGTAGTTCCATGTCAAGAAGAGTGAAGTTTGATGCTTGACTGTCGAGCATGGAAATGGAAGGTAACGGCATTTGGTGGGTAGAAATTGATGATCCAGCAGCACTCATAGGGCTAAACGTATTCATGGGAGTACCGGCGCCATTATAGCTAGGACTAGGCGACGGGACCGATGCAGCAGGTGTGACTGCCGCGCTGGTGATCATAATATCGCATTGTACGGAATGCCTGATGCAATTGTTGCCTACGTGATTGTTAGAATTCGAAAGGATCATTCATCGCCCGCTCAATATTCTGGATTGCAATCCAACCTTAAGAAATTTTGAGGTTTGTTATCATCTCCAAGATATAATCAATCCAGGCATGATCAATTCAACATGTCTTTAAAATTTTCAAGAACAGACTGCAATCCAGACTACTTAACAAATTATCTTGAAGTGTCTTACATGACGGCTTATTTTCATCGCACTGAAGTAGAAATCATTAACCATGCATTCCCCATACAAAGAGAACATTAGTAGCCGTACCTTAATTTTCCTAGTTTTGCAAACGCGACAACCAGTCCGGACTTTTCGATGCGGTTTGCGAGATGTCCCTTGCATGATCCAATTTTCACGATATCTTATCTTATCGCGTTTGCAAGACACGTGGAGTGGCCAGAAGAACGAGAGAAGTCCGAGTACGTCGATGGAAGAATACTCCGTTGAACCGAAGCCTTGTGAGCCTTTTGCCAGCTATCAGTTATTTTTGGAGGCACAACAAATATATGGGCAGAAGATCAAGATAGCCAGTAATTGATAGGCCGAAAGGAGGTTGCCGTGGAGCCAAAATCAAAGTCTGCGTGTTGTCGGGGCTGTGGTTTGATGGAATGAGGTTGTCAGATTGCGAGCGAAGTCGTATACGAGAAGTGCGAGAGTTGTACGAGTGCGAGTGCGATGCACGAGTGGCTTAAGCTAGCAAGGAAGCTACCAAGCGATCCAATTAGACAATTTGTCTTGGATCTCATCCCCAATCAAATTTCGTATCACGGCGATTACGATCATCAGCTTGTTGATTGCGAGTATTCTAGACTCGGTGAAGGGAACAGACCAAAAGATTTGTTTGTACCTATTCAATCTACGAGATTGTGCTCCAAGTTAACAGTTCTTTGAAAACATCAGGAAACACAATTAGCAAAACAAATACACCTCGAAATGTTGTCCTCCCAAAATCACGTTTTTAGATACTCTTTCCAATCCTAAGATACCTCTAGCTATTCATGCTTCTCACATGAGGCAGGGATTTGAAGAGTCTACCGCCTATTTGTACCCACTTCTAAGCTTAGCCCTCCTCGCATTATATGCGGGTCCTTCCGAGTGCGAGAAAGCGAGAAAGCGAGAAAGCGATATACGAATGCGCCAATACGTCTCCAATGAAGAGCTTCTCAGTACGAAGCTGCGACTTTTTATCTAATTTGCATTTTTCCGGGATTCACATATTATATAGCTCTCTCCTGTCTTCAAAATGGAGTCTTCTGTTCTATCTCATTCCCATCCACAAGCTTCTTTCTTTCCTCTTAAAAGACCCAGACCGCTCGAGATCTCAAATCCCGATATTGTTCGCCTTCCCTTCTCCCGAGCTTCGAATTCGTATTTAAAGATTAGACGAACGTGATACACTCATCACATTAATCATCATGTCGGTCAATGGAGAAAAATACATGCTCTATCACTATGAACCATCAACAGCCGCAGCTTGCGTTTTTGTAGTCCTATTTGGCATCTCCGCCATCCTCCATATCTACCAATTACTCTCCAAGCGAACATGGTATTTCATTCCCTTCATCATCGGAGGTTTATGTAAGTGTACTCTTCCACAAATCTTTACAGCTTCATTTCACATGATCTGAGCGCTGCCAACAACCTACATCTTTCACAGTTCTTAACCTATACTAACCAACTCTACAGTTGAAGCCGTGGGTTACGTCGGGCGTCTCCTATCCTCTCGCGAGGACTACGGGGATTGGTCACTTACACCATACATCATGCAATCGCTACTCATCCTCATCGCCCCCGCCCTTTTCGCAGCATCCATCTACATGGTGCTTGGACGTATCATCGTGCTCACCGACGGCGAAAGATATTCCATCATCCGCTCGAGCTGGCTCACCAAAATATTCGTCGCCGGCGATGTTCTTTCTTTCCTGATGCAATCCAGTGGTGGTGGAATGCTCGCTAAAGCCAGCACCGCCTCGAAAGTCAAGTTGGGAGAAAACATCATTACGGGTGGTCTCGTCGTCCAAGTTGTTTTCTTCGCTTTCTTCATCGTCACGACCGGCATTTTTCACAAAAGAATCACAAAAGCACAAGGCGGAACTCAAGCTTCTGCCGTACCATGGCAACAATATCTAATTATTCTTTACGTCGCCAGTACTTTTATCATGATTCGATCGATATTCCGTATCGCAGAGTATGTCCAAGGATCTGATGGTACTCTTTTGTCGACCGAGACGTACATCTACGTCTTTGATGCTACGCTTATGTTCTTGGTTATGGTAATCTTCAATCTGAGACATCCAAGTGCTATTATTCAAGGAAAGGGACAACAATATTCGACTCCAGTTGCGAGAGGAAGCGGAGATGGATATCCGATGGATGATAGAGTTCCATCTGCGACCAAGTACCAAGGTCATGGCTATGCGAGTGAATCCGTCTAGATCGGTATGGAATGGAATGACGAAGGGAGGGTATGAGTAGCATATGGGGCTGCACGGGATAATGAAGGGGGGACATGAGTAGCATTTCGGGTCGGAAGGAAAAAAGTTACGGGAGAGGTTTCTTAATGCTAATACCATATGCGTGGCACCTTCAACTACGGTTGGCATGGGCGGGTTTCTTTTTCTTTTTTTAAACCAATTTCTACAGCAAGGCGTTTCAGTATGGGATCCATAGAGCATGTAAAAGTTTAGCATGGAACTTACATACTATTAGAATATATGATTAATGACAATATATCCAAAACCATCTATGGGAGAATCACTGTGAATTCTTGTGCCGAGTTGTCTTCTAATCTAGGCGATCTTTCGTACATACCTCGTTAAACAAATCCACCCCTTCATTTGAAGACTTGAAAGCCATAGTGCTAGAGTGTTGAAGTCTACATTCTTAAATACTTCTCAGACACTCATTGTATGTACTTCTCCCTTTGTCTATAGAGATAAAAATATGTTTGTAGTCAGCTTCTTCTCTCCACAAATACATTCCCCAAGTTCACTCTTATTACAGATCAGATGTCCCAGCGATTAAGTAGCCGCCGAAAAGCTTAAATGAGATATCGAAAATACACTAGCACTCACGCCTTCTACAAAAATGTATACTCTTCAGTACTCTTTTCAATGGCAGCACCTCAACCAACACTCCCACGACTCTTGATAAGCTTATGGTTGTATGAATATTCTTCTACCTTTATATCTTTCTTCACACGCCCATCAATTTATCCATATAGTAAATCCCAACACCCAAAATCCTACCCTCTCCCTACTAAAACCTCCCTTGAATACAAACCCACAAACCCATTCACATCCCAAATTCCCTCTCCCAAAACTCCTCAATAAATCTCCCTACCACCTCTTCATGCGTCCTCACCAAACTATGCCCCGCCCCATCTACCTGCAATATCTCTCTCCCCCACCCCAACTCTCCCAACTCTCTCTTCACAAATTCTGGCGGAAATGAAGTATCAAATTCCCCCACTATCACCAAAATCTTAATCCCGCTCCCAATCAACTTTCTATAACTCTCATGCTGATCAAAAACATTCCCATACCTAAAAATACTAACCACACTGACTACATGACCTTTATGATTTTCTCTCTGCCATTGTTCGATCGGTTGGGACACAAATTCTCCTTGTCGAAATGCATTTTTCCAGTTTCTATTCGAGGAAGCAAAACCTTCTAATTCCTCAATGATAGTATGATCACTCTCTTCATCTACCATCCAATCTCCATCCTCCTGCAACCTATTCCACCATCCACTATTTTTCTTCTTCCAAAGTCCCGCTCCAGCTACCACAACCGCGCTCTCCACAACATGCGGATATAGCGCCGCGAAAGTAGCCAAAATACTCCCGCCCAAACTAAACCCCACAAAATGTGCTTTGCTCCATCCCAAATGCGACAGGACTTCAAAAATCTGCACATGCATCAACGCCGGCGTATGTGCCTCCAAAGGAGTCGAAGAATTTCCATGGCCCCAGAGATCATAAATCACAACATGAGATCCCGAGCTCGTGAGTTGACGAGCAAGAGGTGCGATACCAATAGCACATGTTCCAATACCATGGATTAGGAGGACTTTCTTGGCATTTGACGAGGAGGAGGGATTGAAATCATAGTAGTGGATTATTCCTCGAGATGATAGGATATCTTTTCCTGGGGGAAGGATACCGGCGAATTCTTCTTCGAATGCTTTTGCTGATGGGGGTGGGATGTAGGAGAGTCCATTGATGAGAAAGGGGGGAGGAAGTGAAAGGGTTGTCATTTTGAACAGTTCGATTAATGGCAGCGATGAAGTGAAGTAAGCGTGAACGTGTGAGGTTTAAAACAAGAATGGGGGCTTCAAGCGACCACTAGTGATCATCTCACCTAGAGCAACCCGTAAGCAAATTTGTAATCGATGTCCCTGCGGAAATTTTCAAAAAATTGAAGCAATTTATAATCACAAATTCGTCATATTTGATTGTGAGATCCAAACATACGACTAGGGGTCTATTATCGTCGCGATGAAATATCAAAATTTCGATATCGAATTGATGCAGCGCAACAATCGAATTAATTCTGTTCAAGAGAATTTCTCTTATTCAACTTCAGAAGTCTCTTGACCCATCCACAGGTTGATAAACAATGCCACTCGAATTGAGTCTAGTTGAGTCGAGTCGTCAAGACGAACTTTCTCAACCTTTCCTCGTAACTTACCATTCAAGAACCATAACCACCTCATTTCAATACGCAACCGTAAACCCAAGTCAAACCTATACTCATTGCTGCCATCCAAGATTTTAAACATAAAAACCGACAAATATAATACATGGAATGTAGAAACTACCTACTTATGGATACAAATACCACAGCCCAAACAAGCAATAAACGAACAGAAAAAAAGAACCGGACAAAGGACCACAAAACTGAAGAGAGTATATCTGCACCACAAAGCCCAAGAAACATCAAACACAACATCGGGAGGAGCCACACTCATAGCTCTCTCCCTAGATCTCTCAAACTAAATCTCTTTTATGACTTGCATCGAGATGCAATCACTAGATAGACGGGTAGGTAGGTATACCATCCCAAACACACACAATCAAGAGAAAATCGAAAGAAGAAAAAAGAAGCATAGAAAAGACAAGCAAATAATATATAATCCAGAGTACAGTCAGTATACCTCTCTCCCCCTCTCCCCCTCCCCCTCCCCTCACCAACCTTCCAAAACCTTCCAAAACCCTCCTCCCAAACATTCCCCCCTCCCAAAAAAAAACTCCAAAAAATCTGTTGACCAGACTGGGGCACGATCCCAGGACCTTGTCCGAACATAACAAGACACAATCACCTTTCAGAAATCATGAAATTGTTAAGGACACGTGATAACCAACTACACCATCCGGCCTATTTTGATATCTGATAGTTCACAATTTAAAAATATAAATAATCTTTTTGGGATGAGAGTGGGGTTATGTATTGATCAATGAATGGATTAGATGGACAATTACGATAGATAGGAGGGTGGGGTTACAGGTATGGATAACACGGATGGAAAATTTTCGTGGCTGATCTAATCAAGTAAGCGATGTATGTGCGCAAAAAGTGGGGGAGTGGAGGTGGAGTGCATATGACCGATCCAATAGGTACTAGCAGTGGCCGCTTATCTCTTCGGCATATGGGATTGTTGCATATCAAATCCCGTTCAACCATTCAACCCAAATGCTAGGACGAAAAAAAAAAGAGTTCCAGAGACGAAAGGAAAAAGTTGAATTGCCTTGTGATGTAATCGTTTCATAACTCATCGAAGTAATTAAAAAAAAATAGTAGAATGGCAAAGAAGCCCCTGGTATCTATTATATAAAATTCCCATCTATCCATCATCTATCAGCACGCACCCACGCCCATGCAATTCTCAAACTCATATCCCAAACATCCTATTAAGAATCCATTCAACACATCCCTCATGTCTTCCCTATACAACTTTATAGATCTTTCGAAGTACTAGCTTCAGTCGAAGTCGTAGTGTCACTTTGTCCATTTTCATCCTCAACTTCGATTCCCGCCTCCTTCTTTTCCCTTTTAGTATTTTGTCTGTTGTCCCTTAGGAAATCAACTTCTGCTTTATTTTCAGCCTCCAATTCACCATTTCTTTCCTTTTCCTTTTCTCTAGCCTTCTCCATCTTATGTATAGCCTCTTTGGTCAGATCTTGCTTAAACATTCTTTCCAAAACATCCTTCTTTCTAGTCCTATGATCTCCAATACTGATAAGTACACCAGCTGTTATGTTGACTGTGATGCTACAGCATAGAATAACTGTAGTCAATGCAAATGGTCTGGTCTTATAACTAATTGCCCAAGTACATGTACCAAGAGCTATTTGAAGAAGAGAATGGCAATCCAGAAGAACGACAACGGCGACAAGTAACCTAAGAGGAAATGCGTGATGTGTGTTAGTTTCGTGAGGCTTATAAAACGTATGAGATCGGTTGAACTTCTTTTGATGATGTTGAAGTTTCTTTTGTTGAGCTGGATTAAGGACTGATACTTCATCTTCGACAATCTGATCTTCTAGATCTTCCGGTAATATGGCTGGTAAATCGTTGTGATCTTCTAATTTTGGTAGAGCCTTTTCTTTGCGGAGTCGCCATGTTAAGTGATGATAGTGAGCTATGTATATCATATGGTAGGTGTCGATAGCCCGAAATGGAGCAAGTCCATCACCCATGATAGCAAACAGGGCAACAAGAACATTGTCAATAACGTTGATCACATAGAGACGTTTACTTCCAACATTAACCCAACCAATCAGAAAAAGAACCCATGCTAATCCAAATAAAGTAATAAGAGTTGCATATAGGGTAACGAAGAATCCGAGAGCTAAAAATATTAGTCTAATGTATACTATAGATGATTGTAGAAAACTTACGCTGTCTAACATATTGTCCAAATCCTTTCATTGCTCGCTTGAATCCTTCTCTTCTTGAATGTAATAGATGTCGCACATGATCATTGAGTTCTTCTTTATCCTCTGGTGACCAACCATCCAGATTAATGCCTTCTGGGACTACGGCATAATGAGGATGTTCCTCATCTGGATGTGATATGGATTCAGTGAGAGTAAAAGCACCAGTATCTCTACTTTGAAGTCGAGGCCTCTCTGGGCGAGGGAGAGCTTGTCCTAATTCGTCATTTGGCCCAGGCTCTTCTATCGTTGGAAGATCCGCCAAGTTTGTTGGACGACGAGAAAGACCATTTGTTTGCTGACGAGCGAGATCATTGGTTGGTCGACGGATAAGTTCATTTCGGGTAAGATTATATGTTGGATTACGGTTAAATAGGTTTCCAAGTGATGGAATAAATAAAGAGTTCTGGATATTAGTAAGACTTGTCAAAGTAGAAATTTCGGGATCTGGAAAATGGTTAGAGAGATATTCAAGAGTTTCCTACAACAACATTGAGGGGAGACAAACCGACTAGATCAAGGAAATCAACAAGATCAGTGTCGTATTCATCTTGTGTTCTTGGGACCCCTTCGCTATGGGTATGAGAATGTTGTAGAGGGGGAGGGACTTCATTTGTCGTATTATTTCCACCGGTATTAATTGAAGCAAAAATTGGACCTTCTTGTTTTGTTGCAGAAGCCTCTTCGATGGTGGACGGGATATATGAACCCGCCCTAACTCGTGGTGGACCGGCGGTTGTAGCCGATTGAGAGGTTAGCCATGCTGGGCGTTGTGGTTCAGAACTACTTCGACGCCTGTTCGATGTATCAATAGTATCGTCGACCGATGTGAGATGATTGTCAACATGTGGAGTTGAATTATTGCGGGTCTGCCAATCTCTCCGAGATGTATTGTCGTAAGGTTGATTAATCTGCGAATTTCCAGCAGGAAGATTGGCCGTTGATGGTATTCGTCTGATTCGAATAGTTGGTCGCCATACCGCTGGTGGAGGTCGTTGTGGTTGTCCGGTTGTTCCTTGAGAATTCAGGGTGTTTTGTTGTGCCAGTGAATTCGCCGATGTACGTGCTGTAGATGCCCCAATACTTTCTCTTCTACTGTTCCTTCTTGCATTGTTTCCAGAAACTCCGGATGTCGATAATGTTGGTAATTCTGTCCCCGTTGTTGTCAAGAAGTTTGGATCTTCAATCGCAGATTCCCGCCGCGATTGCATTTTTGCTTATCTTTTGTAAACAAAAGAATTCGAGAGCGAAAACACAGATGATCCCAGGGGGCTTTCGTTCTCTGTTTTTTTTTTGTTTTTTGCTTGTATATCAAGGTCCGCTTGATTGATACTAAGAACAAGTCTAAAATCTTGTAAATAGAAAGGATCGAGAAATATTTTAGGGGACCATCGGAACAATAAGATACTAAAGAGATGTAAATTGAGAAATCTAGAATTCGGTTTCTTTTCCTTCTGCCGGATCTTTTCCTCTTGACCAGGTGAGCCAAGAATCAAGTTCTGATAATTGAGCTACCAACCCTCGAGCCACGGATTGACCCAATTCCAATGGTTAAAGTTTGGTGAGTGGTCTGCGAGGAATAGAAAATTGGGTCTTGACTTTTAAGATTGAAAATAGCATGCAAAATTACACGGCCGGTACGTCATATGGAGAGAGCGCTTAGTACTTGGGAAAGTAGGTAGTCTCGAGGTAGTGAATCAAAGTCTGTGGGGGGAGGGAAAGGAGAGATGAAACTAGGTATGTGACAATGATAATATAATCGTTCTATGCTTTAGCCAAAACAGAAGAATAAATGAGTTCAAGACGCACTTCAGATCAGATCAATTCGATGTCTATGCCATGATATGATTCGAGTAGAAGAGAAGTGGAAGTTACAGTACAGTAGTATGTTGGAACCTGGTACCAATTTCCAGTCATCATTTTCGTTTGTACTCCGGTCCTCAAAGAGTGGGAAAAGATGCTACCAGGTAATTTCTAATCAACCAGTAGATGGGTATCAAAAGCACACAGCTGAATAATCGATAAGCATAGAACAAATGCCAATCAAATTCCCATCTTTAGTATGGAACATTATCTCCGAATCTCCAATTGGAATCAATTATCAAACAATATTGGGAATTCGTAAATGCCGTGCTTCGCAGATTCTAGACCAATCAAAATCGGTGTTGTGATGGAGATACTAGGGAATGGAGAAGGTAAATTCGAAACGTTGGCAGCATCAAGAATTATGCAGGATCTCAGATTGATTAATTGAACTTCAAGGGACCACCTGGGTATTGTTGGACCCTTATGCAAGGCTAAATCATCGTAGCAAGGCTGA